ATTACCTGTACCACTAAAACATTATTAACTCCAAGAAACATAATTCTTACATTCTAAAAATATATTCTGCCTTTAAATAAGCTGCATAGGGTTGACAAGCCGTAAAAAAAGAATCAATCAATCTACTGATTAAGCTGAGTTCCAATTTCAATTGGATTCGTTATATTTACTTACGGGCAAATGCCCTTTGGAGAGGTAAGAATTCACCTTACTTAGTAAGGCATGTATCACTAAGCCATTATTATCGCCAATATCTATTCTCAAAATCTAAAAATATTTGCTACCATTAAATAACCTACAAAGGGTTGATAAACCGTAAAAACGAATCAATCTACTGATTAAGCAGAAGAAATTAAAATAAGAAATTATTAGGACTTGTAAACCATTATTATCGACAAAATATATTCTTAGAATGTAAAAATATTTTCTGGCTTTATACAGTGTATCACAAAAGTGAGTACACCCCTCACATTTCTTCAAATATTTAAGTATATCTCTTCATGGGACAACACTGACAAAATGAGACTTTGACACAATGAAAAGTAGTCTGTCTGCAGCATATATAACAGAGTTAATTTATTTTTCCCTCAAAATGACTCAAAATATAGCCATTAAAAGCTAAATCACTGGCAAAAAAAGTGAGTACATCCCTTAGGAAAAGTTGTCAATATTAACATACAACATGACAACTGTCAGTATTTTGTGTGGCCACCATCATTATCCAAAACTGCCTTTACTCTCCTGGGCATGGAGTTTACCAGAGCTTTACAGGTAGTTACTTGAATGCTCTTCCACTCCTCAATGACGACGTCGCGGAGCTGGCGGATATTTGAGACTCTGCGCACCTCCATCTTCTGCTTGAGGATGGCCCAAAGATGTTCTATTGGGTTCAAGTCTAGAGATATGCTTGGCCAGTCCATCACCTTTACCCTCAGCCTCTTCAGTAAAGCAGTGGTTGTCTTAGATGTGTGTTTGGGGTCATTGTCATGCTGGAACACTGCTCTGCGACCCAGTATCTGGAGGGAGGGGATCATGCTCTGCTGCAGTATTTCACAGTACATGTTGGAGTTCATGTTTCCCTCAATGAAATGTAACTCTCCAATACCTGCAGCACTCATGCAGCCCCAGACCATGACATTCCCACCACCATGCTTGACTGTAGGCATGACACACTTATCTTTGTACTCCTCACCTGGTCGCTTCCACACATGCTTAAGGCCATCAGAACCAAACAAATTAAATTTCGTCTCATCAGACCATAGGACATGGTTCCAGTAATCTATGGGCTTTGTTGACATGTCTTCAGCGGGTTTTCTTGTGCATTGCCTTCAGAAGAGGCTTCCTCCTGGGGTGACAGCCATGCACATCAATTTGATGTAGTGTGCGGCGTATGGTCTGAACACTAACAGGCTGAATCCCAATCTCTTTAATCTCTGCAGCAATGCTAGCAGTACTCCTACGCCGATCTTTCAAAGAAAGCTTTTGGATGTGACGCTCAGCACGTGCGCTCAGCTTCTTTGGACGACCTACCCGAGGCCTGTTCTGAGTGGACCCTGCTCTTTTAAAATGCTGGATGATCTTAGCCATTGTGCTGCAGATCAGTTTCAGGGTGTTGGCAATCTTCTTGTAGCCTTGGCCATCTTTATGTAGTGCAACAATGCGTTTTTTAAGATCCTCGGAGAGTTCTTTGCCATGTGGTGCCATGTTGGAACTTTCAGTGACCGGTAAGAGAGAGTGTTAGAGCTGCACTATAAATTTGAATACACCTGCTCCCCATGAACACATGGGCATAGTTACACTAATGAGTCACATGACATTTTGGAAGAAAAATTAGAAGAAGTACTCAATTTAGACATTTAGGGTTGTAGTTTCTTAGGGGTGTACACACTTTGTAGGGGTGTAGTTTCTTAGGGGTGTACTCACTTTTGTTGCCAGGGATTTAGCTTTTAATGGCTATATTTTGAGTTATTTTGAGGGGAAAAGAAATTAACTCTGTTATATATGCTGCAGACAGACTATTTTCATTGTGTCAAAAGGTAATTTTTTCAGTGTTGTCCCATGAAGAGATATACTTAAATATTTGAAGAAATGTGAGGGGTGTACTCACTTTTGTGATACACTGTATATCATGTAAAGGGTTGATAAGCTGTCAAAAATAAGCAGAAGAAATTAAAAGAAAAAATTAGTAAATCCTGTAAACCATTATTATCGACAAATATATTCTTACAATCTAAAACTATTTTCTGGCTTTATATAACATGTAAAGGGTTGATAAGGCGTAAAAACAAATCAATCAATCAATCTATTGATTAAGCAGAAGAAATTAAAAGAAGAAATTATTAAGAATTGTAAACCATTATTATTGTTTATAATGACTGTTATTCTAAAAAAATAGGTAACGTATACACACGCAAATATAAATAATTAATGCTATTTCGCAAAATATTTTTCGGTCTTAAATAACCCACATAGCATTGATTAACTGCAACAAAAAAGTAAGAAGGAAATCATTCAACAATCCTTCTACCTACATTGACAGATCTTTAGTATAATATTACTTTATAATACCTTTCGCCGCCGACTACACCCGGTGGTCTAACCACGTTTTTGTTGACCGGTCCTGAGGGTCTTAGAACGACATTTTAACTACGGGGCTAACTCTGTGCCAGTCAATGGTGATGCTGGTTCACGTTGGCTGGCAGATCTGTCCACGCTGTGTGCTTGACCTCAGAGCTGTGGAAAATCGAATGTCATACTTTCGCAGTGGTGGCCCAAGCCATAGCGCTTGCTACATACACTGCGTGCCAAATTATTACCGAGATAACTTAACCTGCGCAATCACTGAAATTTTTGTACTGATCTGCGCAATGTAAACAAACTGGCGCCATATTTGTTATCAGCACGCAGATCAGTTCAAAAATTTCAGTGATTGCGCAGGTTAGTGGTAGAAACATTGTGTGAAAATTTTATGTGAATTGATTGTACAGTTTTTGAAATATTAGAAAAAAGTTATTTCGATAATAATTTGGCACGCAGTGTAAATGGAAAATATCTTCGAAAAAAAATTCATGGAGTTAGTCTTCAAGTGGTTTATAAAGCTATTGTTACGACAAAAATTAACCCATCGCGCATCAATCTTTCTAGTGAAACTAGGCCTTGTCTAAACTTCTGGAGATCTGGTTTCAAAGTTTTGGAATCAGAAAATCTGGTGGAAGCTGATTTGGATTTCAGAGGTTCTCTAGGCGGGTGCTCAGCCCAAGTCTCCCAGCTACCAAATGCCATATACACTTCGGCCTAGCGTGGGCTGAAATATTATGGAGATTCGATGTTTCCCCAGTTTTCATTAATTCCAACAAAGGTTTACTTTGTTCCCTTTATCTGCTTTCTTAATCAACTTTCAGATTTAGAGAATCAATCTCCTTCCTTGGGAGTAGCCCAAAAGCTTTCTCTCCTCTCTTAATTCTAACCTGCTACGCTTCCCATGTTGCACCGCGTATCCGCAAAGTCGGAGGGAAATTCTTCTGACTTTCTCCTTTCTCTGTATTCTAAATCTGACCGCGACTCAGGCTTGCATAACTGTCTTTGAGAGAAATCTAAATCTTATAGTGCGTATGAGAAATGGCGTGGTTTATTTTCCTTATTAATTTCAGTTCTCTGATTTCATTACCTGAATCCATTTGTTCAGCGAAAACAAAAACACACATTATCTTCTTATTCTAACTTTTAGAGCGGCAGATGCAAATTATTTGTCAATTTTTTTTCGTCAATGAAAATATATTGGTTTACCTAAATTCTCAACAAAGAAATACGTTGTTTCCACCCTGGCGCCGCTCGCCGTCTTAGGGAAAACATAAACCAGATCACCCGCCTGTTATGACTGATCAATTTTTATAATCTTAACCCTCGCAGCGGGTTTTTTCCTCTTTTCATTTTTCAATTCGTTTTTGCTAACGAAAATATAATTCCCGTTTTTCGCCAATGAAATGTGTTTTTCTAATTTTCCAAGTAAGTGATAACGCTATTTCTTTATTTTTTTTTACTTGCATGTTAGCTTTTGGATGGCAAAAAAAAATCTTGGTGCATCCTTCCAATTCATAGAGGTGAGGCAACCCAGATAGCCTTTTCTTCACTTCCACATTACCATTCAAAATGCATTCCATTCTCGGTTAATATCTCTTTATCTTCCAGTTTAAGATTCATTTGGTCTTAACCATTTTTCTGCTTAGAATTTATATTTAACCATCTCACAGATTTAATGTCACATCACTCCATTTTTAGTCGTTTATATGACATGCAACTAAACTTTCTTAATGTGAGAAAAGAAAAGATAAAAAGTATCCAAAAATTTTCATCTTGCATAATGTTTCTATTAAATATGTACTAGAATTAAAAGGTCCTAATTTTTTTTTCCCATTCATGATCATGCATTTTCACATTAGGTCTCGTACCACCCATTCCAATTTAAACATTCAACCTGTGGCTCGCAACTCCCCTTACAATTTAATCATCAACCTGCGGATCGCAACTACTCTGAGGTTTGTTCCAATTGGTACAAAATTATTTCTTTCCTGATGTGTCCTGCTTAGTCAATTTCCACAATAGTGTGTTCTGTTTTTTTTTCTTTTTTTTTTTGTGAGAGCTGTCTCCGAATTCGATCTGCTTCGAGAAAGAACGATAAATGATGACCCTCTCTCTTTGGCATGCAAACTCGCCGAAACCTTTGGATTAACTTATTTCTTCCTAGTTCTTTATCAGCATCATTAATGCGGCTATTATGGCGGCATTATCTACCAAAGTGCCTAACATGGCAGACCAATTAATTATGGTATATGAATTATCTCACTAAATTGTATTCTCATCTGACGTAGAAATCAATTTGTCTTTCAATTGGTCCGGACTAATGTTCTTTACTGGCTTAAATAACTTCAGCATCTCTTTTAATGAAACTTCAGGAAATTTCTCTATCACTGATTCCCTTAATTCTGTCCATTCGATCAACATCACAAATGAAATTTTTTCTTCGTATTTTCTTCAGCCTGGTAATATGGGAGATAGATAGATAGATAGATAGATAGATAGATAGATAGATAGATAAACTGTGATAGAAAGAAAGAGAACGATAAAAAGAAAGAAAGAAAGAAAGAAAGAAAGAAAGAAAGAAAGAAAGAAAGAAAGAAAAAATGAAAGCAACTGGAATAGAAAGAAAGAAAGAAAGAAAGGAAGAAACTGAGATAGAAAGAGAGAAACTCAAGTAGAGAGAAAGAAAGAGACTGAGATAGATAGATAGATAGATAGATAGATAGATAGATAGATAGATAGATAGAAAAAAAGATTGTGATGATAAGAAAGAAAGAAAAAAGAAAGAAAGCGAATGGAATATAAAGAATGAAAGAAGGAAATAGAAAGAAAGAGACTGAGATAGATAGATAGATAGATAGATAGATAGATAGATAGATAGATAGATACTCAAAATGCTGAATATCCCAGGATTAACTCTAACAAATATAATCTTGGTTGTTCTGGTGGGTTTCCTCCCTTATCGTCTGGAAAGATCAATCAGACCCTGGGTAGCAACTATCCAGACCCCATCAGATATGTGGTAATCTGTATTAGCCAATACTTCTACTTGACAATTCTCTTTAATTCCATCTCTATCTCCCTTAAACGATTCAAGCATAGACAACCTGTGATTCCTTGTCACATTAATTAGACTTAATGAAGTAAACATCCCCAACGCATTGTCATTAAAAAAGACAGAAATAAGAAGATAAAGATATGTTAACTTTATGAAAATATTTCTAGCGTAAATAAAATTATTTTTTTATGTTGAATTTTTTCCCTAAGTTTTTATTTTTTATACAAATATTTTGCGCCATTTAGTGAAATAAAAATTTTTTTTCAGATGTTTTCATGTTTTGTTTTACTTTTAGAAAAATCTCCATACACACGAACACGCACAAAATTTGAAAGAAATTGTAAAAGACATCTGTCTGAGTTGTTAAGTCTAATATTCCTTTCTGTTTGGCAAGAAACCCCAGATGACAGTAAAACATATGAGCCAAAATGTGCGACTTTGAAGTTATTTCATGACTCTTTTGGCATTTAATTAATAAAAGAATGTTAACTAGAGAAACAATTTATATTTTAAATTTGATCATCTTGAAGTCACAGAAACGTTGAGGTTCACATAATAATAATAATTTTTATGGTCCAAGGTTAGAAGCAATGAAAGAATAACACGAACACAGGTATGGAATACAAAGATATATTACAACAGAAATATGATACAAAGAAGTAGAAGTATTAGTAATGACTATCAGATTTGGTGAGAGTGAACTATGTTGTTTGGACAAGTATCACTGTTCCAATGTCCTTAAAATATGCTCTCAATTATCTCTCCTCGTCTTACAATATTCGTCATACCTCTTGAGAGGCGCAGTATTTATAATGTCAGGAATAGTCCATTATTATTATGGGTAAGTTCCCATAATAATAATAATAATAATAATAATAATAATAATAAACAATATGAACTTGAAATTAAATTAAACATCATTTAAAAATACCTTGTTCATATTTCTGCTAGGAACAATTCTGCAAACGCTCGTACATATAATATTAAAAGAACCCGAAAAAACAATTTCTTGTGTCTGATTTTCTGGGTGGAGAAGTTATTAATATTTACATTATTTTCATGCAGACTATTTCCGTCGTCTTTGGTTTTGGCCGTTGTGTAATAGTAATGACAATGGCAGTCTTAGCCGTTTCTCTACAACTGATTTATGATTTCGTTGTTTAATGGAATATCAACACTCTATGGGTCATTTAATAGTGAAATACGATTTTATTGGGTGCTTTAAAGTAATAAAAATAAGATATGTTATTTTGCTTTCACAACTGAATACACGGTAGACGAAACTCTGATTTTCACCATATACTTGTTTGAACATAATTAAAAAATGCGGTTATATACATTGTACGTTTGCTGAATTTATATTTTGATTTCTTTAAGGTATTGTAGAATATTCTATGTATTAATATCATAAAAGGTCTTTCCTGTTGGTTGGTTTACTGATTTTGTTTAGTGGCATGTCAACCTCTATGAGTTTTTTTAATGTCGAAATCTACATAATTTGAACACACTTGTATGCCTTCAACTACAGATAAAATATATTGCTGGTCATTTTATTTTTAAATGTATTGTTGTTCATTTTTATATATAAATACGTGTTGCTGATATTTTTGTTATAAAGATGTATTTTTATACTTCCATATTGTTTTGTTTGTTGGTTCACTATTTGTCCACGTAGCAGAGACTCAAAGAGTTGTGACTACCCCGAGGCCAGGTTTGATCTGGAAACAATAGCATTTACGAGGTGGTTCAACGCTCCTCAAATTCTCCAATTACCCGATCAGAGGTCTTCCTGCCAAATGTGGTTTCCTCTACAAGGAAACATTTGGCATGCACTGGCAGTCAGTACTGCTTTAGGTTGAAATTTAGAAAATCTTTCTCTTGAAATAATTTTCTCAGTAAAATATGTTCCCTATGTGCAGTAGCTTTATGATATTGATGGAGGTAAACTTCCTAAACGTTTATTTGAAGTAGTGTAGAATATCAACAAATTCAGAATGTCATTATTTACTCTTCGAGTTACACGTGCTAACCGTTTTAGTTGTTCCGGCTGTTAATGTCATTTCTTTTATTTGCTACAATTAATTTTTTTGATTTTGTATCGCCAGTCAACAACATTCAAACAAGGATGGTCTTCATCAAAACACTCAGTCTTAAATCGTTCAAAGCCATTTTAAAACATTAATCTGAGAGAGAAGTTGTATACAGCAGATATTTTAAATATTTCTAAACGAGTTTTGCGCCATACATGGCGCCATATGTAATTTTAGATCCAATGAGGGTATTTATCAATATGACTCGAGGTTTCAGTGTAATGTTTAAAGGTTGTAGCCTCTAGTATTTGCATCATATACTATGTTCAATTTCCCTTTCATTTATAAAGGATGTTTCATTAAGCCGGATCAAAAGTCAGCAGTAAATAAATCAGTGTTATCGGTAGAAATGTATTTATTTCTTTATTAGATCATGTTATTAAAGTCATGGCAATTATGTGTGAAAAATAATATCACCCAAATGTCCGGAAAATCTGAAAGAAAAAGAAAAAATATCATTAGACGCTTAAACTTAATTCACATTTAAAATAGGTCAAAGTTATTGGTAGCCTTTACTAAATATTTTATAACTGATCCATGCGCTGAGGTATCTCAAATCTTTACATTTAGTAATTCCACATCCTGAAAATTTATGATGGATTCAGGTTATGTGCCATCACTAATTTCATTCAAATTCTAGATCATAATTTCTGCTTGGGAAAGGTTTACCTTGAGTTTTTTCTTGGAATACTTGGAAGATAATGTTGATTTTCTACTCAAGATTCATCATCACCATCATACCCTTGGCTTTTGTAATTATATGGCGGATAAGAATGCAATTCTTTTCCACAACGGCAGCCATCAGCAGTTCTGGTACAGATTTTTGATATTGCCCAACCGGTTTTTCCTTTGGCGTCCTCTCCTACATCCATCTTCAACGGTGCATTGCATGATGGTCTTGCACAGGCTGTCGTGCTTTGTAATTTGTCCAAACATCACCATTTTTCTCTGCTTGACAGTGGTGGGAAGAGTGTCGCACAAAGTTTTAAACCTTTTCCTCATAAACTCATTGTTTTTTTTTCTATTTTATTCCCAATAGGAAATATCAAGGAGTTTTCTCATGCATGTTTTCTCAAACGCTTGAATCATTCTCTCTGTATCTACCCAAAAAATCGATGCTTCTCATCCATAGAGGAGAATGGAGTCTAGCAGAGATTTGTATAGTCTGTCCTTTGTTTGAAAGCTGATTTTGAACCTGCATATTCTTGTCAATTTGACCATCGCTGCCATGGCTGCGGCAATCAGTGTGCGGATTTCCGGGATGCTGGTACCATCTTTAGACAAGGTTGCTTCTAAGTATTTAAATTCTCAAGCTTATTCTTATGTAAATTATGAATACATATTTCCTCAGGATAACACCTTTAATCATCAGTGCAATGGTCTCATGAGGAAAAGCTAGACTGTTGTCTTTTATTGGCAGATTCGTTTGGAATGTTGTACGGAAAATTTAAACGGTCAGTTTCCATGTCATCACATTTGTGTTTTTAAATGCACAGTACATATTCTAGGAAAATTTTAAATAGACTCATTTCTCCTGTCCTGGTTTGAAATGTTTCCGTATTGTGGTTCTCGCCAGACAGGTATGATTTTGTTAATCGATACTGTTCCTCTATCGGGATAGGCATGATGACGGCCGGAAGGTACAACGACCTAAAGGTTTTAAGAGGAAAAACAGAGATTTGCGTGTGTATAGTTTAAATGAAATATATTTATTTTAGGTGTAACTTCGATCTGTGCTTTCTAGATGAGTTATCAGATTTTTTTTTTTTACTTCCCAGCGATCTAAAACAAAACAAGAACTCTCTTTGATTGATTCTCGGGAAAAAAAAACCAAAAAAAACCCTGAGATATGTATGAATTAATGTAGATTGAAATGATGTCAAGTTAAAAACTTTTTGGTGTCACTGTTATTTAAAATGAAAATTTCAAAATTCAAATCTGAGGAGAAATCAGAAAACAATTTTTGCGACACATGTCTAAAATTTTAAAGCTTAAAAAATATTTCCCAAGGAATACTTCAACAAATATATATCACCTTCTATATCAATATAGGCTAAAAGGCCCGTGCATTACCATTTGTTTTTAAAAATAATGATATTTTCTTATTCTACATGGAATCCGAATATCTTGTCATCCTCTAAATCTCCTATAGAAGATTGTGTCAGCTATCTGAAACAGAAAATTATATACGAATGACAAGACGCTCGGAACACAATGTATATACATTTTACTTCTTATATAGAACGTGCGGAATTTATGGCTCTCCAGAATGTCCTGATCTTTGTGGCAGTTAATAAAGCGTGTCTTTCTGATATCTCTCCTAATCACAGTTCAGCCAAACATAAAATGGTCCTCTGTTCATCTTGCCTATATTACGTCTTGTGAGTGACAAAATTTCTAAGCCACCTTTCTTCTTAAAGTTACCTAGATAATTCAGGTGTCTCTTGCTGATTATTTTTTTTTTTAAGCGTTTCACCCCAAGCAAGGCGAGAAGCCACTAGGACGCAAGGGGTTACAGAAAATTTGGAGCAAGGTCAGATAGGAGTGATAGAAGAAAGAATGAGGAGAAGGGTAGTGGATAGATCAAGGCAACTGGAGATGTCGATTGACATATATAAGTGTTATTTTTGTTATCATTTTCTCTTAAACTTCGTCATTCCTCTCAGGTTCAGTTCATAGTATTCTCAGTATCCTTCAGTAGAACCAAATCTCTATCGTCTCAAGTTTCTTCTTCGTCTGTTCGCAGATTTCTTTATATATATATATATATATATATATATATATATATATATATATATTCCAATTTAATAAATTATAACAATGGAATATTAGTTTCTTCAGCCTTATGCATACATACATACACACACACACACATATATATATATATATATATATATATATATATATATATATATATATATATATATATATGTATTACGATTCCAATATAAT